GACGCCAATTGGTTCCTTTAGATAGAGGATGAATGATACTTTGTTTAGGAATGAAGAAGTGACCAAGAAGGCCCAAAAAACCTTGAGAGTATATTTTGAGATAAATATGAACACTACAGTGGAAAAAAGAGTAGTCTGGGACGCAAGTAAAGCAGTTATGAGAGGATTTTTGATACAACAGAATGCAATCAAGAAAAGAACACAAAATGAGAAAAAGGATAAAATCCTGGAGAAAATAAAGGAAGGAGAGAAGAAACTGAGAGCAAAACCAAAATCACAGGAGATCCTGAAAGAGATAAAGTTATATCAAGTACAATATATGAAATTGATGAATCAAGAGATAGAATGGAAGATTAAACAGATGAGACAAAATACATTTGAATCGGCAAATAAGTGTGGGAAATTGTTGGCCTGGCAAATGAAAAAAAGACAAAAACTTAATACTATTACGAATTTGCAAGTGGAAGGAAAAAATATACAGAACCCAGTGGAGATCAGGAAGTGCTTCCAGAGGTATTTTAAACAACTTTATACACAGGAGAAGCAGAAAGAAATGGACATTGATCAATTCTTGAAAATAAACGGACTACAAAAAATCTCTCAGGAAAATAAGTCAATTTTGAATTATAAAATAACGGATCAGGAAGTGGAAGGGGCCATACAGAATATGCAATTGGGTAAATCTCCAGGACCGGATGGTTTGACTTCAAGATATTATAGATCTTTGAAAGAATGGCTAATACAACCATTGAAGCAAGTGTGTAATGAAATATTGGAAGGGAAAAGGGCACCAGAGTCGTGGAAGGAAGCTTATATTACACTTATACTGAAAACAGAGACCGAAAAGACACAGCTTAAGAATTACCGCCCCATATCGCTGCTCAATGTGGATTATAAAATTTTTGCAGATATTTTGGCTAAAAGATTTTAAAAAGTGCTAGTAGAAGAAATCCATAAAGATCAAGCTGGCTTCCTCCCGGGCAGACATTTGTCTGAGAATATGAGGAACATAATTAACATTTTAGAAAAACTACAAGTGAATATTAATTCTAAGGCAGTTCTGATATTTGTGGACGCAGAGAAAGCTTTTGATAATATTTCTTGGAGTTTTATGAAGAAAAATTTACAAGGTATGGGGGTAAGCCAAGGTTTTGAAAATGGTATAGGTGCAATTTATTCAGAACAAAAAGCAAAATTAATTGTGAACAATGTAGTTACAGAAGAGTTTAAGATTGAGAAAGGAACACGACAAGGTTGCCCAATCTCTCCACTGCTTTTTATATCGGTCCTGGAGGTTCTGCTAAATATGATCAGAAAGGACCAATTGGTTAAAGGTATACAAGTGGGAGCTAAACAGTATAAACTGAAAGCATTTGCTGATGACCTAGTATTGACTTTACAGGAGCCAGAATCTAGTACCAAAAGGGTACTGGAATTGATTCAAGAATTTGGTCAGGTAGCAGGTTTTAAGTTGAACAAGATGAAAACTAAGGTTTTAGAGAAAAATTTAACTGCGAATGAGAGAGAGAAGTTCCAGGAGTAGACAGGATTAACATTGGTTAAGAAAGTGAAATATTTAGGGGTTAATATGACTGCTAAGAATGTGAACTTGTTTAAAGATAATTATGAAAAATGTTGGACTGAAGTGAAAAAGGACTTAGAAATTTGGTCAAATATGAAGTTATCATTGCTAGGCCGAATCGCTGCAATAAAAATGAATGTATTGCCAAGGATGTTGTTCTTGTTTCAAACATTGCAAATTTTGGACAAGATGGATTGTTTCAAGAAATGGCAGAGAGATATTTCTAGATTTGTCTGGCAGGGCAAGAAGCCTCGAATAAAATTTAAGATACTAACTGATGCTAAAGAAAGAGGTGGATTTGCCCTGCTAGTCCTTAAACTTTATTATGAATCAGCTGCATTTTGCTGGCTGAAGGAATGGCTGCTTCTTGAAAACACTGATGTACTGGATTTAGAAGGTTTCAACAACGTATTTGGTTGGCATGCATATTTGTGGTATGATAAGGTAAAAGCACATAAAGCATTTAAAAACCATATTGTTAGAAAAGCATTGTTTAATGTCTGGATAAGATATAAGGATTTGTTAGAAAATAAAACCCCAAGATGGTTGTCACCAATGGAAGCGAAGGCACAGAAAAAACTCAATATGGAGGCCAATTGGCCGAAATATTGGGAAATATTGGAACAAGATGGAGACAGAGTAAAACTGCAAAGTTTTGAAAAATTAAAAAACAAAGTGCGAGATTGGCTCCATTATTACCAAATAATGGAGGCATATAACTTGGACAAAAAAGTTGGCTTCCAGGTGGAAAAATCAAAATTGGAAACAGAATTGTTAGATCCCAAAATTAAGAATTTGTCAAGAATGCATAACTTGCTGTTGAAATGGAACACTCAGGATGAAACGGTGAAATCTGCTATGATTAAATGGGCACAAGATGTTGGACATAACATTATGATGGCTGACTGGGAACAGTTATGGACCACAGGTATGAAGTTCACGGCATGTAATACCCTAAGAGAGAATTTAATGAAAATGATTTTTAGGTGGTACATGACACCAGTCAAGCTTGCAAAAATTTATCATTTGCCCGAAAATAAATGTTGGAAATGTAATGAGACTGAAGGTACATTCTTTCACCTTTGGTGGACATGCCCAAGGATTAAGACATTCTGGGAGATGATTTATAATGAAATGAAAAAGGTATTTAAATATACCTTCCTGAAGAAACCAGAGGAGTTTCTCCTGGGCATGGTTGGCCAATTGGTGCCAACGAAGGACAGAACTTTCTTTATGTATGCAACAACAGCAGCAAGAATACTCATCACGAAGTATTGGAAGACACAAGATTTACCCACCCGGGAAGAATGGCAGATGAAGTTGATGGACTATATGGAATTGGCGGAGATGACTAGCAGAATCCGAGACCAGGAAGAAGAGTCGGTGGAAGAAGATTGGAAAAAAATTAAAGATTATTTACAGAAATATTGTAAAATTAATGAATGTTAGAAAAATGATGGAATGAAGTTATATGGCTTTAGCAGAAATGTAATAAGGAATTAGGTACAGACAGATTGTTAATGTTTTAAAGGGAAAAAACAAGGCTAGAATATGTTAAGATAAATTACAGGACAGAAAATAGAGGAAGATGGAAAGGAATTGCTGAAACAGTTAATTGAAGTGGAATACAAAAAGGGAGGTGTGAGGAGGTTGCCGACACAAGTGAATGAAAGATAAGATATTGCAATTATTGGATGTGTTTTTAATTCTTTTTGTTTTGTTTAGTTGATTTAATGTTTTAGGGTTTGTGTTGAGAGGTGTTTGTGTTTTTGTTTTTTGTATTGTATTGTATCATTTTGTTTAATTTTTTTCTTTACTCTTTTGTAATCTTTAAATTGCTAATAAATATCATTTTTAAAAAAAACAAAAAAAAACAAAGGTTACAGACAGGACACCGCAGACTACTGAGACCGCAAAAGGTTAGACAGAGGGAACGTTGTTCAGACAGCTGTGGCTTGTCTGGGGTGTGTGTGTGCCCTGCACCCCAAGGTCACACGTGCAGGCAGACTGTGGCTGCCTGCTGGTGGGGAGTGTGCTCCTTCCGGACCCCACTCCCCACTCCGTGATCATCCCTACACCCCACTTTTTGAAAAAAGGTACGCATTGTAATGACACCGGACCACCCCATACCCACTGGAATTTCTCCGAATAGGGACGTCCTATTCAACAGTAGGGTTTCTGGAATCCAATGTCTGGAATTTCTCAGACATTGAAATTGAAACACTTTATTGTCACTTGTACAACTTGTATACAGTGAGATTACACGAGCACCCCCCCCCACTCAGCTCTCTTAGTCTTAAATCCCCTCGTTTACTGATGTACACCCACCAAACCCGAAAGTCAGTTGCCCTGTTGTTATCTTTTCATTCAGCAGTCTAATAGCCCACGGATAGAAGCTGTTCTTTACCCTCTTGGTGTGACTAATCATGCTTTTGTATCTTCTGCTTGAGGGCAGGAGATCAAGAAAGTGCCGGCCCCCCTCCGAAATGTGCTGCTGAAGCCCCTGCCTCAGTGGGGCGGAGATCGGGAGGGCAAGCAGGGGAGAGGAAGTGGAAGCAGCTGGAGAACAGAGTCACCTCTGGATTGGGAGAGAGGGGGGAGATTTTGAATTGGGTGGGGGGTGAGAGATGGACAATGTCAAGGGAAATCGGCCTCCGGGGCTTCCTGAGTAAGAAAGAGGCTGATGGGAGAAGGAAGGGGGAGCCCCCTCCACGCTCCCCTTTCAGAAATACTAGTCTGACCAGCGGAGGTTGCTTTGGCACAAAGGAAAGAGCCACTTGGGTTTCCCATGTTGGGGGGGGGGGTTGCTGTGCTGCTTTTGTGCCCCAAAACTGGAGGGAAGAGGCACATTTTCCATTTCCTGAAGTATGAAAAAGGACCTTGTCGGTTTCCCTCCTGCTTGGCAAGGGAAATGGGTCCATGGATGGCAGGATTTGAAACTGATCAAGGTCTCTGGAGCCCTTTAAAAAGCTTCAAGGCAAAGATTGGAGGAATTAAAGAAATGCCCCCTCCCCAGCTGGACTTGGGGGAAACATCCCCATGCTCCGGGAGGATGCCTCATCCTGTACTTTCTCACAGTGTAGGGAAGATAAAAGGTACACACACACACAAACACACACACACACACACCAACACACACACGTTCCTAAGTGGAAGGACTAAGGGGCCATAAGCCACTGAACTTTGTATTTCTGTCTCCCTAAACTACAATCTGAAGTGACGGACATGTGGAGCCTCCTTTTATTGACGCAAACCAGGCAGATACATTTTTGAGCTGTGACCTTTGCACATCTTGCGATCCCGAGATCGTGGGGTGGTACAAGGTTATTTTGGCACCTGTTTCCACCGCGTCATTTTCTCCTGCCCCTCCCCCTCCCTCTGGGCCAATCAGCTCCGTTTCCTAGAGAGGCAGGAAGTGGGGTTTTTTTTCCTGAGTAGGAAGTAGAGGCGAATTTGGAGGGGGAGGGGTCTCCATCCTCATCCCCGGAAGAGAAGCGGACGAGGAGAAAGAGGTGCCTCATATTGGGGGGGGGGTTACTTGGAGAGGGGGGTGGGAGAAGGATTTGCTTTGCCTCCCCCTGAATCTACAAACAGGGCAGCTGGGAAAGGAGGCGGGAGGATTGGGGGGGGGGTGAAAGGAAAGCAGGAAGGGGACCCGTCCTTTCCCTGTGGGAATCAGGGGGGGGGGCTGGATGCAGCCCATCCTGTTGCAAAGTGGGGTCCTCCTCCCCGGACAGGGTTTGCATTGCAAGATCCTTTTTGAAGCGCAGAGATCAAGCCAGGCTCCCATGGTTGGGGGGGGGACTGTGGGGGGGGGCGAAGGCGCTTGAGACGAACCAGAAAAGGGTGTCCCCCCCCAGTGCACCCTAACTACAAAGGGATTTGCCGCCCCACCCTGTGCATGTTGACTCAGCAGTCAGTCCTTCTCCGTTCAAAGGGGGGGGGGCAGCCCCATTCCACCTAGTGATGCTCCTCTCTGTTTAACACCCTCCATCATCCTTTTCACTGCTGCCCCCTCCTGCCCCCCCCATCGCTCCCCCCGCGCCCTGCCTCCTGCGTCAGGGAGCCAGTCTGGAGGGGAGGGGAGGGGTGAGCTCCTCCAGGACCCTGACCTGCCCCCCCCTCCGAAATCTGCTGCTGAAGCCCCTGCCTCAGTGGGGCCGAGATCTGGAGGGCAAGCAGGGGAGAGGAAGTGGAAGCAGCTGGAGAACAGAGTCACCGCTGGATTGGGGGAGATTTCAAATTGGGTGGGGAGTGAGAGATGGACAGTGTCAAGGGAAACCGGCCTCCGGAGCTTCCTTAATAAGAACGGGCTGGTGTGAGAAGGAAGCAAAAGGACACAAGGATCTGCTTCTTGGGAAGGGGGAGCCCCCCCCCCAGCTCCCTTTCAGAAATCCTAGTCTGGCCGTCTGAGGTTGCTTTGGCACAAAGGAAAGAGCCCTGTTGGGTTTCCCATGTTGGGGGGGTGCAGTTGGGGAGGGTTTGCTGTGCTGCTTTTGTGCCCCAAAACTGGAGGGAAGAGGCACATTTTCCATTTCCTGAAGTATGAAAGAGGACCTTGATGGTTTCCCTCCTGCTTGGCAAGGGAAATGGGCCCATGGATGACAGGATTTGAAACTTATCAAGGTCTCAGAGGAATTAAAGAAATGCCCCCTCCCCAGCTGGACTTGGGGGAAAGGGGGAGGGGGAGGAAACTGATCACCACCACCACCCCTGCAGATTTTGATGCTCTTTCTTTCCAAAAAGAGGCTCCTCCAAGACATCCTCTTGGGACTTTGTCAGGAAGGAGAATCAAAGCCCCCAGGGGTGGGAGATCTGGCCTGCCTTGCAGGATTGGCCCAGCGCAGAGGTGCTGAGGGACTTTCTCTGCCGGTGCTGCCAGCCTCACTCCTGCCTGGCCTCGTCCCCATCCAGGTTGCCAGGAGGGTTTTATAGCACTATAGGAGTTCTAAAGCCCACCACCTGGGCGATGCTCACACCAGAACCCTGCAAGGTGGGCCAGGATTACTGCCAGTTTAGTGTTTGGAACAGAGACCTTTCTCCAGCCTGAGGGCCACATTCGCTCCTGAGCAGCCTTCCAGGGTCCACTTTCCATTGATGAGCAGGGCCAGAGGACAGAATTGGTGGAGCTATGGGGCTGACTCTGAGCTTTGTCCAGGGGATGCCGGCCTTCCAGGGATTTTTTCCAGCCACACAAAAAAACCCCAGGAGGCAGCTGGGAAGCGTTGGAAAGAGTGTGTGGCACTGGGGAAATTCCTGAGGGCCAGAGAGAGAAGAGGGGGGGGGTACTTGAAGGCCAATTTAGCCCCAGGGTCTGAGGCTCCACACCCTGCAGTTCAGGTGCTGGGCTTAGACCAGGGAGACCCAGTCTCACATCCCCATGCTCCGGGAGGATGCCTCATCCTGTACTTTCTCACTGTGTAGGGAAGATAAAAGGCACACACACACATATGTTCCTAAGCGGAAGGACTAGGTGGCCATAACCCACTAAACTTTGTATTTCTGTCTCCTAAACTACAATCTGAAGTGACAGACAATCTGAAGTGGAGCCTCCTTTTATTGATGCAAATATGCAAACCAGGCAGATACATTTTGGGCTGTGACCTTTACACATCTTCCGATCCCGAGATCGTGGGGTGGTACAAGGTTATTTTGGCACCTGTTTCCACCGCGTCATTTTCCCCATGCACAGTGTATGACGAAGGAGACCAAAGGTCTCAGGGACAAAGGTTATAGACAGAGGGAACGATGTTCAGACAGCTGTGGCTTGTCTGGGGGGGGTGTGTGCAGGCAGACTGTGGCCGCCTGCTGGTGGGGAGTGTGCTCCCTCCGGACCCCACTCTGCGATCATCCCTACAACAATCCATGCTAGTGCATAGAGTGCTCTAAATATTTCCATCTGCTCCCCTTGGATGGAGCTTCTGCACCCTGGGGCCCTCCAGGTGTTGCTTTTCTTCCAATTGCAGCTTTAGGAGTTTTCCTTATTTTCTATACTGTATTCTAAATGTATCAAAGGGTCAGAAACTGGTTTCCTGGATGGCTGTTCGGGGGAAAGGAAAAGCGAGGCCTGCAGAGGTACTGACCGTAATGCTTTCTGCGAAGCTTCATTAAGAGTTTGGGATTTGATACTAGAACTTTACAATCCGAAGCTGAAGGTTCCCTAAAGACTGGGGCAGCTTATAGTATTATAAAGTGCATGTCAACCAAACCTATTCTCCTGACCTTCAAGGTCTAATATATCTGCTTTTTCCAATATTATCCATTCTCTAAGCCAGCATAAGCCTCACAATATAATATAATCGTAAATCTGGCAGGGAGAAGCCGCCCCTATCTTTGGTATCCGTTAGTAATTTATATTTCATTGTGAATATTAATGCTGCCTGTGTAAATGTGTCCCACCCTAAATAAACCTGCCTTTCTGTAAACTGCCCTCAGACCTCAGGGTATAGGGCGGTATATAGATTCTAATAATAATAAATTAATTTTTGCATTGTTATCCCTGTGTTGAAGTGCATCGTGGCAACAGCTGAGAGAGTCCCAGAAGTGGCCTGGTTTATGATTCCTCCTCCTCCTCCGTCTTTTCCACTGACAACGCAATGGTCTCTGATACACCCTCTGAACGGTCTCTTTTTAAAGATGGAGTGGAAAGAGGAGCCAGGCAGCTTCCTCAGGTAGGGAAAGAGCAACGGGAGCAGGGAGGAGGGAAGAGGCACAGATGGGACCACCCAGCCTCCCTCTGTGTTGAGTGGGGATGATGGGGATCTAAGAGAAGCTCTGTTTTCTTCTTCTTCTTCCAGGCCCTCTTGACCTTTGAGGAGGTGGCTGTGTTTTTTACGGAGGAGGAGTGGGCTCTGCTGGATCCAGGCCAAAGAGCTCTGCACAAGGAAGTCATGGAGGAGAATTATGAGATGGTGGCCTCTTTAGGTAAGGGCAGATTTACGTTGGAGGTGTGAATCTGCTGTTTGAACCATTTATTAATGCTGTGTCTTCTACTTTGGTGACCCCTCGTAGCCGAGTAAGATTGTCATCCATGAACACGGTCTTAATGGTGTGTCCGTAAGGGACTGTGGAGTCCAATTCTGGATCCACACATCCTTCCAGAGTGGGGACATAGGTTTCCAGGCAGGAGTTAATTACAGTGAGGGTTTGCCAAATGTACTTTCCTCTTAGTTTGTTTGTCCCTTTCGTCCGGAGTTTGTGTTTCTTCAAAGTCCATTACACCTTTGGTAAAGGATATTTTCCAACTGGAGCACTCGCAGGCCAGTGTTTCCCTATTTTCTGTGCTTATACTGCATTTCTTTAGATTTGGCTTGAGAGCATCTTTAAACCTCTTTAATTGTCCTTTGGTATTTCTCTTTCCATTCTTAAATTGGGAATAGAGTAATTGCTTTGGAAGATGATCCAGAGGACAGGATCACACTTCAAAACGACCTTGACAGATTAGAGAACTGGGCCAAAACAAACAAGATGAATTTTAACAGGGAGAAATGTAAAGTATTGCACTTGGGCAAAAAAAATGAGAGGCACAAATACAAGATGGGGGACACCTGGCTTGAGAGCAGTACATGTGAAAAGGATCTAGGAATCTTGGATAACCACAAACTTGACATGAGCCAAGAGTGTGACGCGGCAGCTAAAAAAGCCAATGCAATTCTGGGCTGCATCAATAGGAGTATAGCATCTAGATCAAGGGAAGTAATAGTGCCACTGTATTCTGCTCTGGTCAGACCTCACCTGGAGTACTGTGTCCAGTTCTGGGCACCACAGTTCAAGAAGGACACTGACAAACTGGAACGTGTCCAGAGGAGGGCAACCAAAATGGTCAAATGCCTGGAAACGATGCCTTATAAGGAACGGCTAAGGGAGCTAGGCATGTTTAGCCTGGAGAAGAGGAGGTTAAGGGGTGATATGATAGCCATGTTCAAATATATAAAAGGATGTCACATAGAGGAGGGAGAAAGGTTGTTTTCTGCTGCTCCAGAGAAGCGGACACGGAGCAATGGATCCAAACTACAAGAAAGAAGATTCCACCTAAACATTAGGAAGAACTTCCTGACAGTAAGAGCTGTTTGACAGTGGAATTTGCTGCCAAGGAGTGTGGTGGAGTCTCCTTCTTTGGAGGTCTTTAAGCAGAGGCTTGACAACCATATGTCAGGAGTGCTCTGATGGTGTTTCCTGCTTGGCAGGGGGTTGGACTCGATGGCCCTTGTGGTCTATTCCAACTCTATGATTCTATGATAATCAGGCATCCGAACAACATGACCAGCCCACCGAAGTTGATGTTGAAGATTGTAGTTTATAGCAATGCTGTACTTTTGTCAGTAGACAACTGTTCCTAAACTGATATTGTGGTATGAATTCCCCCCCAAAACCTATGTAGAATCTACAAGGAGAGTCACAGGCATGAGCCTTCCTGGTCCGTGTTATTTATTAGCTTTTAATGGGCCACCAGATACCTTGCTGTCTTTGTTTCACAAGATTAATATTTTTGAATATTTTTACAGCCACATATGACATAAACAACATTTCTGCTTTACTTATTCCACATAGCAGAGACTCTGATACTCAAGTCTGAGCTCATCTCCTCACTTGGAACAGAAAAATACAGGGATGTTGTCCTGGACCAATTGAGAGGTCCATACTTCCACTTTGCTGTGAGGCTGTACCTTTGTATGTCTCCTTTCAGTGTGTACAAATATAAAAAGGTCCCTTTTGGATCAGAAAGAGGGCCCATCTTCTCCAGCATCCTGGTGCAGGTTTAGGTGATGTGAACAGTTTCCTGGAATGTATCAGCCAGATATTACAGATCAGGGAGGAAGGAGAAAACTGAATACAGAGGCATAGCATTTTCACAAGAGGGGGAAGATGGGGAAAGTGTGTACGTCCAGAGGTTGCTGCACTACAACTTCCATCATCTCTGGTCATTGGACTTCTTTAGTTGGGTTGATGGTACTTAGAGTCCAACCACATCTGGAGGGCCATAGATGCCTCACCTCAGCATAGAAGTTTTCTCTTGGTGCTCAGTGTTACATGCGAGTTGAAGGTAGAACTGGATACTAAGGGTTCTGGAGATTATTTTCAGATTTCCTTTCCTTTCCCAAAAATTTGGTTCATAGGAGAGGGAGGAAGGCTGGAGGTGTTAAAATAAGAGAAAGTGCTGATTGGTCTTGCTGAGTATTAAGTTCTCTTGTTGTTTTTCTTGAATACTTAACTGTATCTCCCCCCCCCCCCACTTTAAATCCAGGTGATGGAGAAGGCAATCAGAATTTTGACAGGCCATCTGTAAAGTACTTCAGCGTGAGTGAACACCTTAGGACACAACTACAAACTAACGCAGGGGAGAAACCCTTTAAATTTATGGAGTGTGGGAAGGGTTTCATTGAGAGTGGAGCTCTTAAAAGGCATCAACGAACTCACACAGGGGAGAAACCATTTCAATGTATGGACTGTAGGAAGAGCTTCAGGGATATGGGAAAACTTACAAGACATCAACGAACTCACACAGAGGAGAAACCATTTAAATGTATGGAGTGTGGTATGGGTTTCATTGGCAGTGGAGCTCTTAGAGTACATCAACGAATTCACACCGGGGAGAAACCATATAAATGTGTGGAGTGTGGAATGAGCTTCAATCATAGGGCATCCCTTAATATGCATCAGATAAATCACACAGGGGAGAAACCATTTAAATGTATGGAGTGTGGGAAGGTTTTCAGTCAAAGGGGAAAACTTACTGTACATCAACGGACTCACACAGGGGAGAAGCCATTTCAATGTATGGAGTGTTTGAAGGGTTTCATTGACAGTGGATCTCTTACAAGACATCAACGAATTCACACTGGGGAGAAACCATTCAAATGTGTGGAGTGTGGAATGAGCTTCCGTCATAGGGAAACGCTTAATAGGCATCGAAGAAATCACACAGGGGAGAAACCATTTCAGTGTATGGAGTGTGGGAAGTTTTTCAGTCAAAGGAGAAGACTTAACGTACATCAACGAACTCACACAGGCGAGAAACCATTTAAATGTATAGAGTGTGGGAAGGGTTTCATTGAGAGAGGAGCTCTTACAAAACATCAACGAACTCACACAGGCGAGAAACCATTTAAATGTATGGAGTGCGGAAGGAGTTTCAGTCAGAATGGAAACCTTACTATACATCAACGAACTCACACAGGCGAGAAACCATTTAAATGCTTGGAATGTGGGAAGAGCTTCCGTCGGAATGGAGCTCTTACAACACATCTACAAACTCACACAGGCGAGAAACCATTTAAATGTTTGGAATGTGGGAAGAGCTTCAGTCAGAATGGAGGTCTTGCAATACATCTACGAACTCACACAGGTGAGAAACCATATAAATGTTTGGAATGTGGGAAGAGATTCAGTTGGAATAGAGTTCTTACAAGACATCAACGAACTCACACAGGGGAGAAACCATTTAAATCTTTGGAGTGTGGGGAGGGTTTCAGTCAAGAGGAAAACTTACTGTTTGAGGCTGAAAAGGCGTTTTCCATAAACTTTGTATGAATAAAGTTTCTATTAGTATTAATGGTGTTCTTTCAAAATAGTTGGTTTTGAGTTTTCCAGGGTATCAAACAACAGCATTGATGTAACATTTATATGTAACTAATGTAACATTTATATGTAATGAATGACACAATATTAATACTAATGTTCAGATATATAGTTAATTTCTCAAAGAATATATGTGGTTTAGTGAAATGTCTTTATTCAATCATAGGAATAGTCAATCAGGGATAGTCTGTGAGGACCACAAGTGATGTCATGGTATAATTGATGATATATTTAGTATGCTTAATGGAGGATATGAATGGAGAAGTGTCTGAAGTGAGTGGCATCAGATGGCACTATGACTCTGAAGACAAGATAAAGAAATGATTAAATGGAAGATGAAGAATTATTGAGTTAGCCAGTGGACCATGCGAAATCAGGATGGACAAAAATAATTGGGCGAAAATATGACATAAGCAGGATGACAGCATGTCTGGGTGAAGTAGGACAACCTGAAAACTAAAAATATGATTGATTGATGAATGAGTGATGAATGAATGAGTCCTTATTGCTTATTACTTGTTAATCAATAAAGGGTGGTAATCTGAAGAGAATTGTATCATTTTGTCTTTCTTGAAAACACTATGATAAAGGTGAAAAGGGACTTAACTCTGTTTTCGTGACAACTGTACATCAACGGACTCACACAGGAGAAACCATATACAGTGGTGCCCCGCAAGACGAAAAGAATCCGTTCCGCGAGTCTCTTCGTCTTGCGTTTTTTTCATCTTGCGAAGCAAGCCCATTGGTGGATTAGCGCTATTAGCGGTTTAGAGGCTTTTAGCGGATAAGCGGCTTAGCGGCTTACAAAAAGGGGGGGGGGAAATCCGCAGGAACTCGCAAGACATTTTCGTCTTGCAAAGCAAGCCCATAGGAAATTCGTTTTGCGAAGCACCTCCAAAACGGAAAACTCTTTCATCTAGCGAGTTTTCCGTCTTGCGAGGCATTCGTCTTGCGGGGCACCACTGTAAACGGAGTGTGGAGAGTGCTTCATTTGTAGTAGGAAACTCAATGTGTACTGGCAAAGTCACACCGGGAGAAACCATTTAATATATATATATTTTAATATATCTATTAAGGTTTGAGAAGAATAAATGGGTTACAAAATAGATGTCAAAAAGAAAAAGAATAAAAAAATACAAAAGTACAGAGATACAAGAAAAAAGTTGCGGAATACAAAATAGGAAAAACAAACAATTAAAAACAACTCCATCTTTTCATAGCTTATACTTCATTTACTTATTTCCCTGACCCCCTCACACCTCCCTTTTCTGTATTCCAATTCACATATTTAGTTCAGCAAATCCTTTCCCTCTGTTTTAATCTTAATCCAATGTCTTAACACATTGTAACTTTATATTTTCATCTGTTATCAATCTATTTTTGCAAATTCATTCTAACCTTATTGCTAAAACCACTTCGTTTCAATCCAACATCATTTTAACTTTCATTAATTTTACAATATTTCGGCAAATAGTCTTTAAATTTTTTCCAATCTTCTTCCACCGACTCTTCTCCCTGGTCTCGGATTTTGCCAGTCATTTCCGCCAATTCCATGTAGTCCATTACTTTCATCTGCCATTCTTCCACAACTGTTCCCAGTCAGCAAACATAATGTTGTGTCCAACATCTTGTGCCCATTTTATCATAGCAGATTTCACCATTTCATCCTGAGTATTCCATTTCAACAGCAAGTTATACATTCTTGACAAATTCTTAGTTTTAGGATCTAACAGTTCTGTTTCCAATTTTGATTTTTCCACCTGGAAGCCAATTTTCTTGTCCAATTTGTAAGCCTCCATTATTTGATAGTAATGAAGCCAGTCTCGCACTTTGTTTTTTAGTTTTTCAAAACTCTGCAGTTTTAATCTATCTCCCTCTTGTTCCAAAATCTCCCAATATTTCGGCCATTTGGTCTCCATATTGAGCTTTTTCAGAGCCTTTGCTTCCATCGGTGATAACCACCTTGGGGTTTTACTTTCAAGTAAGTCTTTATACCTTATCCAGATGTTGAACAATGCTCTTCTAACAATATGGTTTTTAAATGCTTTATGTGCTTTAAGCTTGTCATACCACAAATATGCATGCCACCCAAAAACGTTATTAAAACCTTCTAAGTCCAAAATGTCTGTGTTCTCAAGAAGCAGCCATTCTTTCAACCAGCAAATTGCTGCTGATTCATAATAAAGTTTAAGGTCTGGCAGGGCAAATCCACCTCTTTCCTTTACATCAGTTAATATTTTAAATTTTATTCTGGGCTTCTTCCCCTGCCAGACAAATCTAGAAATATCTCTTTGCCACTTCTTGAAACAGTCCATCTTGTCCAAAATTTGCAATGATTGAAACAGAAATAACATTCTTGGCAATACATTCATCTTTATAATAGCAATTCGGCCCAACAAGGAAAGCTTCAAGTTTGACCATATTTCCAAATCCTTTTTCACTTCTGACCAACATTTCTCATAGTTATCTTTAAATAGATTTAAATTCTTAGCAGTCATTTTAACCCCCAGGTATTTTACTTTCTTTCCTTCTGAAACCTCTCTTTCTCAATCGATGTTAAGTTTTTCTCAAGAAACTTAGTTTTTAACTTGTTCAATTTAAATCCTGCCAGTTGACCAAATTCTTGAATCAGTTCCAGTACTCTTTTAGTACTAGATTCTGGCTCCTGTAATGTCAGTACTAAATCATCTGCAAAAGCTTTCAATTTATACTGTTTAGCTCCGACCTGTACCCCTTTAATCAGATGGTCCCTTCTAATCATGTTTAGCAAAACCTCCAGGACCGAGATAAAAAGCAATGGGGAAATTGGGCAACCTTGTCGTGTCCCTTTCTCTATCTTAAATTCCTCTGTCACCACATTATTAACTATTAATTTAGCCTTTTGTTCTGAGTAAATTGCACCTATACCGTTTTCAAAACCTTGACCAACCGCCATCCCCTGAAGATTTTTCTTCATGAAATTCCAAGAAATGTTATCAAAGGCTTTCTCCGCATCTACAAAAATTAAAACTGCTTTAGTATTAATGTTCACTTGCAGCTTCTCCAAAATATTGATTATATTCCTCGTGTTATCAGACAAGTGTCTACCCGGGAGAAAGCCAGCTTGATCTTTGTGTATTTACTCCACTAATACTTTTTTTAATCTTTTTGCTAAAATGTCTGCAAAAATTTTGTAATCCACGTTAAGCAAGGACATGGGGCAGTAGTTCTTAAGTTGGGTCTTTTCCGACTCAGATTTCGGTATAAGTGTAATAAAAGATTCCTTCCACGACTCTGGCGCTTTTCCCCCCTCCAAAATTTCATTGCAAACCTCCTTTAGTGGTTGAATTATCCAATCTTTCAAAGATCTATAATATTTTGAGGTTAACCCATCTGGCCCTGGAGATTTGCCCAACTGCATATTCTGGATGGCACCTTCTACCTCCTGTTCTGTTATTTTATAGTTCAGCAACAACTTGTTTTCTTGAGAGAGTTTTTGTAATCCATTTGTTTTTAAAAATTTGTCTATATCAGTCTCTTTCTGTGGCCCTTGTGTATACAACTGTTTAAAATATCTCTGGAAGCATTTCCTAATTTCCACTGGATTCTGTACGTTCTTTCCTTCCACTTCCAAATTAATAATGGTATTAAGTTTTTGTCTTTTTTTCTAACAATTTCCCACATTTATTAGCAGATTCAAATGTCCTTTGTCTCATCTGTTTTATTTTCCATTCTATATCCTGATTTATCATTTTCATATATTGAACTTGATGTAGCTTTATTTCTCTCAGAATCTATTGTGACTTTGGTTTCACTCTCAGTTTCTTCTCACCTTCTCTTATTTTCTCCAAAATGTTTCCTTTTTTCTCATTTTGAGTTCTCTTCTTTATTACATTCTGTTGGATTAGAAACCCCCTCATAACCGCTTTACTTGCATCCCAGATTACTCTTTTTTCAATAGTAGTGTTCATATTTGTCTCAAAATAGTCTCTCAAGGTTTTTTGGGCCTTCTTGGTGACCTCTGCATCTCTAAACAAGGTGTCATAACATCCACCAGAGTTTGTGTTTATTTGCTTAGTAATACAGTCTTCGTTTTAGTTTGGGTTTTTACACCTATGTCTCCTGGAGTCACTCTGTCCTCTGCCACTGGCTGGTAATCCCCCTGCAACAGGTTATGGGCCCAGTCCCCAGTCCTGAGTGGGCAGAGACAGAGCGTGAAAAGAACCCAGAGACTGGAAGCAACTCAGCGTTTCTGAAGCAGCTGGCTGTGTGAAGGCGTCAGCAGGGAGTGTCTGTTTGGGACCAGGAGCCGAACATTTCTTCAAGCCACGTGTGAGTAAGAACTGAGTGGAAAGCTGAAAGCTGGGTGGCGCCATGGCTGGACTTGGAGCTGGAGCTCAAGGGGGAGCTTTCTATTTTCCAGTAGAGAAACTGGGAGAGTCCAATTATATGTCATGGAGTTTACAGATGCAGGCGTTTTTAAAGAAAGAACAATGTTGGACTGTTATTGTTAACCCTCCTGTAAAAGAGGAGGATGAAGAAGTAGATGAAGCAGACCAAAGGCTGGAGGACAAAGCCTATGCCAATTTAATTTTGAGTTTAGAGAAGTCTCAGTTATCTCATGTGCGAGACCTTGAAACAGCAAGTGAGATTTGGCAAGCACTGAGAGCAATACATATTAGAGACACTGCTGGCAGCAAAATTACTCTAACGAGAGCTCTGTACCGAGCCAGACTAAGTGAGGGTGAATGTGTTTCAACACACCTTCAAAGAATGCGTGATTTATTTTCACAGTTAAATGAACTTGGGGAACATTTTTCTGAACAGAGAAAGGTTTATATTGTGCTGTCTTCACTTCCTGAGTCATGGGACAATTTAGTGATGACTCTGGAAGCAATCCCAGAAAGCCAATTAACAATGCATTTCTTAACTGGGCGTTTGCTTGATGAGGAGGAAAGACGCCATGAGAGGAAGGCCACAACCCCTCACCGTAATTCCAGAAATGGGAGGCAGTGCAGTAAAAGATATGCAACTGATGAGGAGCGGCAACCTAAAGAGGTTGTAGACCACAGAGAGGAAGCATCGTTCACAGTTAGAAGATGCTATTGTTGTGGGTCAACCAAGCATTTAGTACGACAGTGCACTGTGTCTGTGGGAGAAAATACAAGACAAGGGCGGCCTGTGTTTGCTGGGAAGCGAGGAGACAGGAAGAGTCGAGTCCAGTATGTTTCTGCAGCAGTTCGAGGCACCAGTCACGACGTTGGACAAGACTGGATTTTAGACTCAGCAGCGACAAACATTTTTGTTAAGTCTGCACAAACCCTTGTAGAAAAGCAGCCTTGTAAATCTGTAAATGTAGTACTAGCTGATGGAACAGTGCATGAGTCAGCTGGAAAGGGTAGTGTGAATATCAACTGTTTAAGTACCAAGTTTACCAATGTTTTATGTGTACCAAGTTTAGAAAATAATTTGCTTTCGGTTACAAGTCTTGTTAAGCAGGGATTTAAAGTAACCTTTTCTGGTTCAGGCTGTAGAATAGAGAAAGCTGGAAAAGTGGTTACAGCGTC